AGAGAGAGAGAGAGAGAGAGAGAGAGAGAGAGAGAGAAGATATATCCATTTAAATTTTATGCTGAGTCAAAAATTTTACTAAAGAAAGGGGATTGCATACACTGACTTGTGTACATTTTTGTGATAGTTTGAAAACTACTAAAGATATTTAGGTAAAATGTGATAAGGAACCATTCTAACCCCTTCAATCTGAGTGACATGACCATCATATAATGAAAAAGTTGGCTTGAGGGGTGGGTGAGGAGAACATGCCATCGTGGGAATAATTGCTGGAAACCGGGTAATGCAAGCTTGCTGTCATGAGTGGGGGCCAGGGTGACAGAAAAGACTCGCCATGAGTGCACAAATCTCTTGGGAGGTTGATTAGACTCATTTGGCATTTAGAATGTGGCTTTTGCATTATTCCCAACAATAAACAAATTTTTTTTTTCAGTGAGTTACTTACTACAGAGATATGGAGACTGTGCAGGGAAAACAGTTTATTACCCTCTCGATAAAGCAAATAAAGAGAGAAATATAGACATTTCCATGCTGCGCACCATACTCCTGCCTGGTGTGACTGGCGGCGCAGGTTGTATTACGTAAAATTGAAAATTACCAAAAAATTAGATATATTACACAAGTAATCAAATGTTTGATTTTTTTTCCTTTTCTTTCACTGAGCTATTTACTACATAGGGAGATAGTATGGAGTCTGTGCAAGGAAAATAAGTAATTACCATCTGGATAAAGCAAATCAAAAGACAAACATGGACATTCGAAAATGGCGATAAAGCTAAAAAAAAGTTTAAACAAAATAACTTTTCAAAGGGGAGGCAATGTCTTGTCACCGCTCATGGGTGTTCGTGTGCGCCTGGCCTACGCGCTGCACACCTGGCATGCTGGCCACTTACGTAACCCACTGCCCAGGTTTTCAGCTCCTTGATTTCCGTAATGCAACTGGATCCAGGGGGTTAACCATTGGCTTACTATGTAATGGGGTTATGGTTAATGGTTGAAGGTCATATTGTGGTGAAAAGGGTTAACAATTAGGATAAAATGTGTTCGATGTCAAAGATTAGACAACAATATACGATAGTGTGGTAGTGAAGAGAGTACAAAGGGGGAGTAAATGAAGTAAAGTGGAGATTAGTAAACCAAGAAAGGGTTAAGGGGATTGGGCCTTTGATGGTATGGAGTATATCTGTGGCTGGGGAAGAAAAATATAATGTTTAAGGAAAACTGGCAAAAAAGCCATTGTGAAATAGGCAACAGATAATACGGGTAGAGATGGCTATTGGAGAAGTATGAGAAGAAGAATCCAGGGAATAAGATAAGGGGACTGGTGAATTATCAGGAAGAATGTAAGGTGGGGAGGGGTCATGGGAAGGACACTGTTATAACAGAAAAGATCCACGTGAGCTTCCAGGTGGGAGTGGTTAAAATAATGGGGGAACGAAGAGGGAATGGTGCACATGGAGAAATAGAGGATGGGGTATGTTGGGAGAGGCTGGGAGGAAGAGGGGTAGGGGGAACTAAAGGAGGGGAAGGTGGATGGATAATGGCAAACATTTAAAAAGTAGAGGGAAGAGGAATACAGGGATTGAAGGGTAGATGAGGGAGTGGAATGTTCCCTTGGTTTATGTTTAGGAAATTTTGAATGTTTTCAAGAGTTTCTGGAGGGGAGTTGGGTTGGGAGGTTTGAGAAACAAAAGTTCTCTTGCATGGAGGAGAAGAGGGGATAGATGTTTGAGGAAAAGGAGGATATAGGAGAGGATGTGTTAGGTGAAGATGGAGTGGAATGTTTAGATTGCCTGGAGTGAGAGAGGGGTAGGCATCAGGGAAATGGTAGAGATTAGAGTACCTGGATTTAGACCGGAAAAGGAATTTAACTAGGGGAGAGGGGGTGTACAGGTAGGATGGTTCAGGGTAGAGGGAAGAGGTACTGGGGGATATGCTGAGACATCTTGAAAAGATGAGAGGGGAGCAGGTAGGAATAGGTAGAGAGAAAACTTTGTTGTCATGATTCGTGTCTGACCTTACACAGAGTGAGGCCTATTTTGAATCTGAGAACTGTTACCTTACATTTGAGCCTGTAGGCAGGGCAGCTCCTATAAAATACATGCTCATGACCGAGGAGGGCAATTTGGTGTAAGACTTATGTTGTCTTCTGAGAAGAATAATGTATCACTGTACTGCCACTGCATCATAGTCAACAAGGCAGGCAAATAGGTCACTTTTACTTTCTGAGCAGTTCTTGTTGAAGACAGGACAATCAGTCGTGGAGACAAAGTTTCAGTACAAGTACTAAGAGAGGAATGAGGTTTGGTAGGAAAAGATTTGCCAGTGAGGTCAGTCAAGGTAGATAGTGCATGAACTTGGGACTCAGATGCAACTGTGAGCATCTGGAATGACTGCAAAAGGAAACTTTGCCTACTAGTTTTTGGAGACATTGCTGGAAGAGAGGGGTATTGTCAGAAGAAGGGGTTATAGGGGCAATCACAAAAAATCGATCCCATTTGTTGTGGCCAAAGAGGGTCCTCATAAGGTTTGCAGAAATGAAAGCAGTAGAACGATGAGGTTGGGAGCAATATGCGGTGGTGTGGGGTGAGGTAGTACTGTTAGAAGGAAAATAAGGACGACGAGTGATGAAAGGGGAGGGGGTAGACAAAGAAGAAGACTGTAGTAGATGGAGTAGAGAATGATAGGAGAAATAAAAAGGGGTGATTTTTGAAGGTTGAGTAATGACCTGGGTGGATGGTTCAGTATGGATAGGGTTGTCAATAAACATTGAAGAGGGAGTATCAGTGGTCGGAGCCATGGTCAAAGGAGAAGTGGAAGTCAGAAAACTACTGAAATCAAATACAAATAGGCTAGTTGATGTAGGGGCAAGCCTTGATGCTCATCATAAGGGTAAAAAAATCTTCATAATTGGGCATGAGCCTGAAATAAGTGGAAAAAAGAAATGGTCTACACCTCAGGGTCTCCGTAAGGTGTAATGGCTAAGTGATTAACCATGGATATACTGTTCCCATGGCTCCTGGAGGCTGCTCATGACTGAAATAAAGCCAGCCTTTCATCCTTTCTCACACCTTAGATTGTGGACAGAAGGGGATGAAGGAAAGGGGGAGAAGAAAAGACCATAAAAAATTAGTTGTGGTGAGGGGCTGAGGGCCAAGTTTGGGGGATCACCTACATTTGTGTGTGCGTGTGTGTGTGTGTGCGTGTGTGTGCGTGTTTGTGTGTGTGCGTGTCTGTGTGTGTGCATGTCTGTGTGTGCGTGTCTGTGTGTGTGCGTCTGTGTGTGCGTGTTTGTGTGTGTGCGTGTCTTTGTGTGTGCGTGTCTTTGTGTGTGCGTGTGTGTGTGTNNNGGGGGGGGGGGGGGGGATGAAAAGGATAATGGGTAAAAGATATAGATATATAGATAAAATAGTGATCTCCATTGTGATTAGACAACCAGAATATTAATAATGTAAAGTCACACAAAATACTATTGGATAACCTAAACAATATCAATCAAGTATGCATATTGCCATTATGAAGGCATAGCATAAATGTAACAATTTTTTTCAAATATCTCATCATGTGTAACATTCAGTAGGGGTTTACATATGTTACTGATAAACTGCTGGGTAGTCAGTTAGGAGTGTTATATAATTTTCACCAACTTAACATATTTGTCCATAAATTCTTGATGGGATCTTTGTGGGAGGATAAATTAATAACCTCTGTTGTCATTCTACATGAATTAGTCTAACCTCCCTCTTCCAGACAAAACCTGGAATCTTATTGTTGGAGACAGTGACAGGCATGCTCAATTATCTGTTGGTATCTGTGTGTGTCATGCTTAGAGTTTCCTTCAAACTTTAATTGATGCAATTTGTTTAAAATATGATGAAAGAAATTATTTGAGATCTTTGTAAAACCTGCAAAAATTTATTATATTTTCCTGAAATATAAAATACCAGTGTGAGTGTGAGCAAGGGTGAGAATATGTGTTTATGCAAATTTGATAGAGAGAGCATTGCATGTTTATCTGCCTGCCAAGCTCAGTAATCAAGAAGCAAATTTAAGTTTGCTTGATAAATGATTGCTTGGCAACTGAAAGACCATAGGTGTGATTGTGATATCAGGAATGTATCACCCGAGGCATTTCTTCACACCTCAAGAGAGAGAGAGGAAGGGGGGGGGGGCTATTATCCATGACTGCCCTACCTTTCTCATTTCCTCACAGTGTGACAACTACTAAGACTAGACAGTATCTATGAGTGATAATGTGTGAATAAAGAAGTCAAATTATGCCTGAGCATTGCATTCTCTATAACAAGCACACACACTTGATTGATTAATTATTATTCTTTATTCCATATTGCTATTACTATTGTCTATGACCATGTTATTATTATAATTTCAATAATAACAATAGGATCAACACTAATAACACAAGGAGAATGAGAAAAAGAAGTAGTAGTAGTAGTAGGAGTAGGAAGAAATAAAAGAAAGAAGAGGAAGGGAAGGAGGAGGACATCATGCATGGCACCACAAAAATGGATCTCATCTTATCTTGTGGGATGTTAATGAACACTCTAGCCCCATGTTTTGTTGTTGTTTTTTTACTGCTATTGCAATCTTTAGTTTTTCTAAATATGGTCATAATATGCAAGGCAGTATTTACGTTCATTGAAAATAACAGTAGCTAAGAACCATGGAATGTACAACTGACTACATTCTTCCTCCAGACCTTCAATCACATCTCTTGATGGGGAGAAACTGGGAACCCTGATGTGGCAACACTACAATGGAGGGAAAGGGGGAGGGGGTCCAACCACATGATGAATGAAAAAGGGCTAAGATTTCATAAAGTGAGAACTTACTGCTCAACAAATAATAGTTTCTCTTCAAAATTTTAATGGTTACAATTGCATAAATGGCTTCTTTCAATATTACCAAAAATCTAATTTGATATGTGGCAGCAACATTTTAGAAACAGACAATATCTATTTCAGTTATTAACTAAATTCGTCACACAATACCAAAGAGAAAGTTCTGGAAAGAAAAGGAAAAGGAAAAAGAAAGGAACAGAAAAGAAGAAAAAGGAAAATATAAAAGAAAAGAAAAAAAAAGAAGAAAAGAAAAGAAAAAGTTTCTTGGTTCTCTTTCTCTCTCTACATGTGTGTGTGTATGTGTATACATGCTTGAGTACACAAGTGTGTATCCATGTATGTGGTTAGGTAGTGTGTGAGTAAGTGAGTGAGTGAGTGTACATGTGTGTGTGTGTGTGTATGTGCATGCGTGCGTGCACCTGCGATAAACATCTGTGTACTTATCTGTTGATACTTCTAACTGTCTGCTTATATGCATTTCCTATGCAGTTAACTCAAGAGGCCACTCTGGTGACCATGAAGAGTCCATAATTTACCTTTATCATAACAGCTCTGGTTAATCAGAGCCGGCTGGTCTTCAACTGCTGAGTTAACTTCAGTTACTTTTCCACTCACTGGGCAGTACAACTCACTGGCAGCTTTTACACTTTCTAAAGCACCACATTCATCTGAAATGAAGGTGGAAATATATTCTCTGTATGCATGTCTCATGATTATATGAGGGTTGGAAGGAAGGAAGGAAGGAAGGAAGGAAGGAAGAAGAAGAAGAAGAAAAAAAAAATACACAATAAAAATAGCAACAATGTGATTAGAAAACCTTGTTTGTATCTCAGAAAAAAAGAGAAAGACCTCCACTGTTATAGCACTTATCAGAGTGTTATCTAATCTCTTGCAAGTACGATGAGAAGTACATTATTTTTCCAAGTAGCACGTCATGTAATACTTCTTTCAAGAGATGATAAAAAAGTACAACATAATATACAAAGTCTGTAAGTTCAGTAAATTTCATATATCTCACTCTACTCTGAAACATTTTAATTCTAACTAAATCTCAAATTGAAGACAGCTGGGAACTCTTAGATATTTACCCATTTGTTCATATTCAGAGTCAACCTCTGGGAGCTGAGCATACACAATATCCCCAAGGGCTTCCTGTTGAGGGAAAACAATATTTTCTTTAAACATAAATTTATATCTATTTTTTTTTACATGTTTCATATTCCTTGAAAATCCACTCTATCTTTACCTTACAGTTTCAAGTTAATTAGACATGTATGTATTTCATATGTATATATGGAAAAAAAAAAAAAAAAAAAACATACAATATGTATGTATAAAATAAACTTACCTGAGCATAGTCTGTGATGCCAACAGTACCTATTTTGCCATCCATGTCCACCCACTCATGCTTCTCGGTGAATTTGCGAACTTTAAAAAAAAGAAAAACAAGAAAAGGATTTTATTTATTTTTATTTTTTATTTTTTTTAAGGAGTTAATACTCCTTAATGATAAGTGGTTTTATTAAATGGGAGACTGTCACTCTCATGCTGGCATATCTATGGACTGGCCTATAATGTAAACTTTTTTCTGTTCTTGGCAAAGATAAATAGTATTTCTACTTAATCAAAAGACTAATGATGAATAGCAAATACATACTAATATCTAACACAGAAATCAATCACAATTTACAAAAAATAAGGGTTTTGAGAAGAAAACAAAAAAATGTTGCCCATCACTTTGTATCTCAAGGTAAATAATCCTGAATTCAAAACAAGTAATAATGAAACCTTCTAGAAAAAACATTATATATCTCATATAAATTTTGAGATAAACACTTTTGAGGTAGAGCTATCAGATTATGTAAATGACTAAAAGAGAGGGAGAGAGGTAGAGGAGACAGAGAGGTAGAGGAGAGAGGGAGAGAGGGAGAGAGGGAGAGAGGGAGAGAG